CTGTGGAATATTACTGCCTCAGCATTTGCCTAAGTGATCCAAGGAAACCACAGAAAAACTTGGACCAAGGCAGACGGACCCGGAATCGAACCGGCGTCCTCCCGAATGCTAAGCAATGGTCTAGACCTCTAGGCCATGCCGCTCGGTGTAGATGAGACATGAAGCCATCAATTAGATTGACTATAATTTTAATGAAATAAAAAAGTAAGAATGCTGCGCAGGATATATTTTGAGCTAATTTTTTCGTCAGGGAAAAGGGTAAACAACATTGCCACCAATTTCAGCTAGTTCGTGCAGTGTTTACGTTCTAGTCAAAGAAATTCATGTACCGATATTATACGTATAATTAATACATAAACTGGTAGATGGCCCAAACAAGCTATAGCCTCAATTATGATATATTACCCTAATAAACTGTTACAAGTGTTCCTTTCCTCTTAGTGGCGTAGCGTGGAGGGGCGTGGAGAGTTATTAAAACTTATTGCGAAGATACGGAAAGAATGAGACATTAAAAATACTGAAGATCCCGTATAATCTAGATTGAAGAACCGAAATCTTTACAGTTATTTGTAAATCTCCACAAGGGCTAAATTAAAAATATAAGTTTTTTTTGTACACCTATTCACTGCAGTCCCGACCAATTTAAATAAAAGATCTTACATAATTGTAAAAATAGGAAGGGCGGCAAATTTTGGCTTCGCTCGGGGTGGCAGAAATTCACGCTACATTACTGCTTTCCTCTTGATTTCGTTTTTACAAGGCGCTTATAGTAACCGTCTTACATTAAGGTATTTGGCTCGAAATATTGACCAGAAATACGATTTCTTGATGATACCGCTACCTGCGAGAGTTCAGTGAACACCGAGCTAACGACCGATATTATTTTTATGGTCCCTATGCCTTTTTGTGATCTTATTGCAGCCCGTATAAACGAATGCTCTTCGAGTTTCTCTTTTACCCATCTTCCACTCAACCTTCTCCCCTTCCCCAAACTTCTCTCATTTTCTCCCGGTAGTTATAGCCGCTAGGTTGATCTACTAATTCGGGGAGGGTTTTTAGTCGGTAGGCGCCCCCATCGGGAGTGAATCCGACACTACACCCCTTTTGGGGGGTGTCTTTAGAAGATTTCCCCACCTCGAGGTTAACCTTAAAAAAAAGAGTTTCTCTTCTCCCGTTTAGACTACCGTCTTGTAAATAGACCCTTGTTATATCTCCACTCAATTTCAGTCTCGTAAATAGACTGGATGACTGATCTCAATTTTTTAGCTAAACACATGCTACATTTGTGAGTTGACAAGCAACTATACCTTTTGATGGAAAAATACGCTACAGCACTGTCCGATAAACCGCAAACAACCTCTAGGTCCCGAGCGGCATGGCCGAGAGGTTTAAACCATTGCTTAGCATTCTGGAGGACGTCGGTTTAATTCCAGGTCCGTCTGTCTTGGTCCAAGTTTTTCTGTGGTTTCCTTGGATCACTTAGGCAAATGTTGGGGCAGTAATATTCCACAGATAATATTTCATTCTTTTCTGTCTTTATTTCTCATCTTTTTCACTTGAATCACCAACCACCCATTCCCACAACTCCTGAAAGGAGGCTGAAGAGAACCTCCCGCCTTAACTTCCGGCGTAGTCCGGAGGGACTGCCCGCCCCCCAGCATTAGTGGCTGGTGGAAATGAAACACCCAAAAGATTGTTTTTTTTTCAGACCAATCAAACTCACCCTGCTACCGCTGCTCCAGCATCTGTGGACAGCTCAGCAGTCAAATTGCCCCCTTTGTCCTATCCGACCTCGAGTTATGGTTCTGCATAGTGGATCCATTTCGTTGCCTCTGGGATCACTTTAGATCTAAATCCAGTTGATTGCTTTGTTTGGTGAAAAAAGTTAAACGCATTTTAGCAATACCTTTTGGGACACAATGCGACCAACTAGGTCATAGACATTTATACACACAAACGTAAATTGCTGAAACATCTAGTACCATAAAACCAATGTAAATAAATTTGGTATAAATAGGATGTAAAAAGTTCAATAAATTAGTCTAACACAAGGCTCACTCTTATTTGGATGTTGCAATAGTGTCAACCCTTGGATGTTGTAATAGTGTCAACCACGGATGCTGCAATAGTGTCAAAATCCATCATGGATGCAGAAATGTGTTCAACGATCTTATAAAACCTGTTCTTATCAGAACCACAATTTCCGATAGTCATTAAACGACTACAACCTCAAGAGTGGTTTGGAAATTTATCAATTAATGTTTAAGTAACGTTAAGTTTTTTCTTCTTTTGTGTTCTTAATACCATGTCGAGGTGTATTTTAAATAGCAATGCATACCATCAGCGACAAGTTGTTACTTAATTAATTTTTATCGTAATGGGTGTCTAAACATTATGTGTCGTAATAAGCTGTTGATATTTATTTTATTAGTCGTTCCACAACCATGACTGTTTACATTGTCCATCGATTTAAGTACTTAGTTGTTTTTGCAATTTCACTGTACGTTGCCATTTCACGCCCAGGGCCGGCTTCGGATTGTAACTCCTTCTGGAAAATATTTTATGTCCCTTAACCATGTTACTTTACTCATATTTCTTCTAATTAACACCATCCAAAGATTGCCATTTAATTCAGAAACACCCTGTAGTTATTTCCAATGAAACAACTACCCTTTTATCAAGATTACTGCTAGCCGTTAGCCTTCTAGAAACTCTATTTCCCTGCGACGCGACGCGCTGATGAGATCCAAAAAGATCGAAATCGCGATCCGCGTCTGGCAGTTTCGACAGAATATAGACCTCTTCGAATTATTTTATTCTATTTCCCTCGTCAGTGAATCCACATAAATTTAAGAAATGTCTTTTCTAGAAGAATCTACGTTATATCTACCGTATTAGCTCTTAAAAATTCCTGAATATCAAAAATGTATAAATATGAGGAAAACTAANTTAAAAATACATTATATGTATATAATACATAGAACCGTACTTAAAACATTCAAACACATTCTGTATTTATTTTTGAACTTCAAAACAGCATCCTACAAGGACTACCTTCAATTTATCAGCATACGTGATTACGTTGTCACCGACTTTGACTTATATCGTAGGCCTAAGACAAGAAAACAAAATATAAGATAATTAATGAAAGGAAGCAAAAACTCTATAAGAAACGTAAATAACAAAATTACAAATAATCAAGGGTAAAATAATAAAAGAGTTAGAATTAAACACACTAAAATTTTTAAATAGACTAAAGTACCTTTAAAAAGAAATAACCACATTAAAGAAACAAACTACTATATTTTAAAAATTTGATTTTCTATGATAGATTAACTTAAAATGTTTGCAAAAAAAATTTTTTATCAATTGATACTCTTCTGATTCACGAGCAAGAGCAGTTATTTTGATTTCTAACCCCTTAAAGTGTATAAGGTACTTATTAAGATAAGGTAAGGTATACAATTATTTTAAATTCAAACGAAAATATTACTTCCTCAAAAACCAAATAAGACGATGGACTGCAATTAGAATTAGAGATTACCTAATAGGTAACCTATTACGCCTAGTGAACGATTTTGGATTAATATCGAAATAAATAATAAATAAACATCTCAGTTATGAAAATTTTTGTTAATTTTTGCTTGTTGAAATTTTTGGTGGACAGGCTTCAAATTTATTCAATAAAATTATGACAATCATACCTTTTAGTAATATTTGTAAATAAATGAAAATTATAGTACTTTCTCTTCGGCAAGTTTGGCAAACGAGTTTTGTATTAACAAAATAATTTAAACATAAAAGCACAAAACTGCAAAAACATAAACATATAATGTATAAGAAGAGGTATTATTTAATTCGATTTCGAGGGTTAGTCCTAGAAATATTAGTTTCATTCTAATGCGAGGGATTGAATATCGAAATCATCTAGCTTTGACTATTGAGTCACCTCTCGAAAACATTTTTTGACGTGACAACGTCTTATAATTCGATGGAGCCGGCTGCACGCACGAAAAAACATGATGCATGGGGCATTACCTCTCTCTGAGGCGTTCCATTTAAGGCTTGAAGTGCAAGCGAGAGCGCGGAACGAGCGACAAAGAGGCACAATCGGCTTCCGCGTTCGGCAGCGTTCGACATCTGTCTCTCTCCTACTTGAGTGAGCGATGCGNAGTTAGAATTAAACACACTAAAATTTTTAAATAGACTAAAGTACCTTTAAAAAGAAATAACCACATTAAAGAAACAAACTACTATATTTTAAAAATTTGATTTTCTATGATAGATTAACTTAAAATGTTTGCAAAAAAAATTTTTTATCAATTGATACTCTTCTGATTCACGAGCAAGAGCAGTTATTTTGATTTCTAACCCCTTAAAGTGTATAAGGTACTTATTAAGATAAGGTAAGGTATACAATTATTTTAAATTCAAACGAAAATATTACTTCCTCAAAAACCAAATAAGACGATGGACTGCAATTAGAATTAGAGATTACCTAATAGGTAACCTATTACGCCTAGTGAACGATTTTGGATTAATATCGAAATAAATAATAAATAAACATCTCAGTTATGAAAATTTTTGTTAATTTTTGCTTGTTGAAATTTTTGGTGGACAGGCTTCAAATTTATTCAATAAAATTATGACAATCATACCTCTTTTGCTAGTTCTTGCAATTGTTTTGCTAGAATAGATCCGGTTTTATCAACAAATCTATAAAGTGATCCTGAGGGATTTTGTAATAAAACGTGGGGATGATCATATTCTGCCACTGCACCATCTTCTAATACAAGTATTCTACTGGAATCCATGATTGTATGTAACCTATGAGCTATAGTTAGAACGGTGCAGTCCGCAAATCGTTTTCTAATGGTTTTCTGGATAAGTAAATCTGTCTGTTGATCTACACTTGCGGTGGCTTCATCTAACACCAATATTTTATTATTTCTTATTATTGCACGAGCCAAGCAAAAAAGTTGTCTCTGCCCGACACTGAAATTCGATCCTCCTTCAGATATCTTACTATCTAAACCAAGCCCTTGTTCGATTACTACTTGCTTCAATTCGACTTGCTCGAGTGCGTTCCACAGAACTACGTCAGAATACTCTCCAAAAGGGTCTAAATTTTTTCTTACAGTTCCCGAGAAGAGAACAGGTTCTTGAGGAATTATAGAAATTTTAGAACGTAGATAGTTTAGTGGTACTGTTGATATATCTACATCGTCTATTATAATTTGACCAGTATTTTCACATAGTTGAAATAAAGCGCATATAAGAGAGGATTTTCCTGCTCCCGTCCTTCCCACAATTCCAACTTTTTCTTTGGCACGTATAGATAAGTTTAAATCTTTTAATACCCACGGAGTCGTAGGTGAATACCGAAGACAGACCGATTTAAATTTGATGTTCCCTTCGGATGGCCAATTGTCATTTGGAACTGATGCTCCCGGCTCGAATTCCTTTTCTATCCTCATATATTCTGTAACTCTTTCTACTGAGATCATTTGATTATCAAGATCGCTCCACTGGCGAATACATTTCTGGAACATTTTTGTTAAGCCCGATGCTTGAGTTATTGCAAGACCAATATTGCCACTGTACTTAACTGAAACAATAAATAAGCCATAGTTATGAAAATTAAAGTTAATCTGTGAATCTATACGTTGGGGTGTTTCAAAAACGTGAAATTTTGAAGTAATTTTTTATTTTATCAAGTATCTAACATTATTTACAAAGACCTGCCTGTAATTTTTACGAAATAGGTATACTACAAACATGTTAAACATCAAAGATGTAGCGATTCAATATTCTCTAAATTTCATATAAAAATAAAAAAAAGGGAATCGAATGCGAAACGTTTTAAGAGCTTTACTTCATGTTTGGAGAACGGCGCTGTACGGGTGCGAAACATGGACAGTGTGCGCGGCGGAAAAGAAAAGGTTAAAAGCGTTCGAAATATGGTGTTACAGGCGAATGATGAGGGTAGCGTGGATAGAGAATGTTAGAAATGGAGAGGTATTAGAAAGAGTACGAGAACAGAGGGCTCATGAAAGTCAATAAGAAATAGGCGAGATAGGTTAGTAGGACACCTTCTCAGGCATGAAGGTCTAGTCAGAGACATATTAGAGGCAGAAACGGAAGTTAGGTGGGGTAGAGGTAGACCTAGATTAGATTACTGTTTGTAGATAGTTAAGGATATGGGTTGTTCTAGTTTTAGGGAAAGGCGAATATTAGCTAAGGATAGGAAAAAGTGGAGGTGTGTGACTGACGACCTTATGATAATGATAGAACATTGCTGTAATATTTCCAACAAATATTTAGTGGGAATGTTAGTATAATGCGTTTGGAATAGGGCATGTTCATAACTGTACTCTGAAGGGAAATATACAACTCTACTTAAAGAATCGTGTCAATTCTGTTATCATGAATTTTGACAAATGTCTAGAACTGAAAAAATCGCCAATAACAGATATTTGCGGCTCTACCGAGAGCTTACTATTTGGAATTTATCATAGCATTGGTTTAAAGTGTTATGTTATGTTATATGTTATGAACAATGGGCTAATGGGCCCTGAGACCTGAGAGTTGAGAGTTCTGGCGTAATTTATCGAATTTCCGCTTTGATACGGGACCTAAAGTCATTTAAGTTTTGAGGCCCGTTTATATAGACTCAATTTTCCAAATTGTAAGGTATGAAAACACCTAAAAGGTTTAAATTCGGCGACCATGCTGGCCACCCAGTTTGATTAGTTTGACTTATCTTGCATTACGGTAACAGCCGATTTAAATGATTCAAATATAACACCACACTGCTCTTACAATGTGTGAAGTTGTCCGTTCCCCAGCATAATTTAGAGAATGTGTGAAATGTTTTTTCAACCACGTCAGTAGATTAGTTATGAGTTATGACAATTCCAGCGCAAAATCCCGCGTATTCTTTTATGATGGAAGAACGCGCACTATATTGGAGAAAGCGGAATTTTGGTCCGGTTAATATTGATAAGTATATCGGTTTACCGTGCCATTCAGGGACGTAGATACGAGTGATTCCGGGTGAGCCAAGATCCATGTTCTATTCTGGACCGTTCTGAACATTAATTTAATTCGAAGTAACACAACCCAAGAAGCTATAATTAATACAAAATACGCGGCATTTCTATTTAATGATGTAAAAGTATCTATATTGTCACGGAGTGAAGTTTTAAGGAAATTCAAAAAACCATTTTTGACTTCAAAACATATTTCAAAATCAATTAAATATTTCATAATTATAACGTTGCTATTCTTTTCAAATTCATAAAACGGATATCGAGTTCATTTACTTGCAATATAAGCGTATTTGGTATTACACAGCAACGAGGCGGTAAGTGAAAACAACTATCTATTTGCAAGCGGAATTTGACGCCAGTTCGATAGCTTTGGTCATTGGGAAAATTATTGAACTTCGTGAATTCATCAAAAAGGAGTTCGTCGGTTTTTTCATTAAATCAGCTAAACCAGAGAAACTTCTAGAACTAGTGAATGGCCCATGTTGAACTATGGACAAATAATCACTGGTTCATCAAAAAGTTTGGCGCGTGAACGGGAATCGATAGTCTGATCGCAATCAGTCGATTCCGGAACGCGAAGGGATAAAGTCTACCCTTAAAAGAGTAACAGGTGGCAAACTCTGAATGTTGGTGACACTACCCCCTGGGCGATGATGATTTCGGCGCTCCTAAAAATGTAAGTAGACCTCCTAATTAGTTTTTTGTGTATTGATCTACATTGAGAGGAAGATCCTTTTTGTAAATATTCAATTCTCTATAATACTTTTTTATAATAAAGTTGTTGTTGTTTTAAAACTTGCCTATCTTGTCATCTTAGTACCTGACCCCCCAGTCACACCAAAATAATTAAATTGCATTAAAATCAGGTAGTTAAAATAAAGATACCGTTTCCAAATTGTGCGTGACAATATTACTTTGTACAAATCGAGAGTTTTTGCGACTTTTCTCTTGACGAACATGACGCTAAATTATTTACCCAAGAAAGTTTCACTTTCTGGCCGAGGGTAGCTGGAAAATAGCATACACACCAGGGTGGAAAGAAATATATGTGGTCTGAGATATTATTTTAGTAGTACTATCACGGAATATAAGGCTTTATGTAAATTATATATTTGTGGTTCTATATTACCATTTTTATGGAACTCAATTTGTCTTGCTGAAGACGACGACGCGGTCCTTTACTATCTTCACTGCACTTTCATTTTTGGGGTAATACACAAACGTTAGGTGAGTGGAATTTTAGGACAATTAGGAGAATTAGATATAGTAAGCATTAGTGAAGTCTGTTGGTGCGAATCTGAAGACTTCTGGATTGGAGACCTTATAATAATACATACAGGATCGGTGGAAGGTAACTCGGGGATAGGAATTGTAATGTGCAGAGTGTAGAAAGTTATTTACAAAAAAGCGATAAGATAGTTATGGTTAAATTGAACTAGAAGCCGGTAAAAATGGTATTAGTGCAGGTTTACATGCCTACATCATCTTACAATGATGAAGGCGTAGAAAGGGTTTATGAAGATATAGAAGACGTATTAAGTTTAGTGAAAGGGCATGAAAACTTATTAGCTGTAGGAGACTTCAACGCAATAATAGGTGAAGGTAAACACGGTACAACAGCAGGTTCTTTTGGATTAGGCAATAAACATAACTTAAACGTCGCGAATACTTTAATCATCACGTTAGGAGGCGCTATACGTGGAAAATGCCAGGTGATTTAAGGAGATGCCAGTTAGATTACATACTTGTTCGGCAAAGATTAAAAAATCAAGTGAAGGACCAACCTTAAATTACAAATTCTGAAAAAGAGGGAAGGTAGGAGACGTCTTGCGCGTGATAGGCTAGGTACAAGGACGAAATACTAAAGGCAGCAGTAGAAACGAATGACAGGGACATAGAGATAGACTGGAACTGCATTAAAACGTACCTAAAGTCAGCAGCTGCAGATATACGAGGGTGGATTGATAAGTTTCCGGCCTGACCAAGAAAAACAAGGTTTTTAAAAATTTTTTTTTTTTATTTCTCAACATAATCTCCTCCAAGGCTGATACATTTCTCATAGCGGTGTTCCAGTCTATTAATGCCATCTCTATAGACTGATTCGTCAAGCTCCTCAAAATAACCATTTACAGCTTCGATTACTTCTTCATTGTCCGCAAATCTCTTACCGCCAAGCCATTTTTTGAGATTAGGGAACAGAAAATAGTCACTCGGGGCTAGGTCTGGAGAGTAAGGAGGGTGCGGCATCAATTCAAACTTTAGATCGTTGATTTTAGCCGTCGCAACGATTGACGTGTGCGCTGGTGCGTTATCGTGATGAAACAAGATTTTTTTCTTCGCCAGATGAGGTCGTTTAATTTTCACCTCGTGGCTCAAACGTTGCAATAAGTCTGCGTAGTATTGACCAGTGATAGTATTACCCTTTGCAAGGTAATCAATGTATATAATACCTCTTGCATCCCAAAAAACAGTAGCCATAACCTTGTTCGCCGAAAAAATTGTTTTTGCCTTCTTTGGAGTTGGTTCCCCTGGTCCAATCCACTGTTTAGACTGTTCTTTGGTTTCAGGAGTGTAGTGGTGGACCCACGTTTCGTCAACGGTTACGAATCGACGCAAAAATTCGCTTGGATTACGCTTATACAATGACAAATTTGCGGTAGAAATGTTTTTTCGAATCAATTTTTGGTCGACTGTTAGCAAACGCGGCACCCATCTTGCACAGAGCTTTTCCATATGCAAATGTTGGTGCAAAATATGTTGCACACGTTCATATGACATCTTACAGGTCTCAGCTATCTCACGCACTTTCAATCTGCGGTCTCCCAGCACTATTTGATGAATTTTTTCGATCATATCTGGAGTTGTGACCTCAACGGGGCGTCCTGAGCGAGGCCCATCAGAGGTGCTCACACGACCCTTTTTAAACTCGGAAACCCACTGCTTAACGGTTGAATATGACGGGGAGGATGTCCCCAGTGTTGAGTCCATCTCTTTTTTAATTTCCTTCGGCGTTAACCCCTTCAAATAAAAGTATTTGATGACAGCACGATTTTCCTGCTTTTCCATTTTTACGAAAACCACAGAGGCGTCTTGTTCAGCGTGCTGTCAAACCTACACTAGCAAGGAGATCGGGCTGAAACTATAGCTACAAGCTATCCAAGGATGGTACTATAGAATGTCACCTCAAGGTAGGCCTAGTGGCGTCATCTCTTGGTTAGGCCGGAAACTTATCAATCCACCCTCGTACTAGGTCTTTAACGAAACGAAAGTAGGAAATCCTGGATAACAAATGAGATTTTAGGATTAATAGAAGAAAGGCGGAAATACAAAAACAAGACAGGCGAAGAAGTACAAAATAGGGAAATTCTAAAACATGCAGGACAAGAGGTTAGAGATCGTATGTTTAAGCTAGTTGGTCACATTTATGAGACGAGGAAAGTCCTAGAGGATTATAAACGGAACGTTGCAGTAATCATACCTAAAAAGAGAGGCACGGATATAGCCGAGACATTTAGAACAAATAGCTTAACTTCCCCTGCGTTAAAAATCTTAACTAGAATTGTACAGAGGAGAATAGAAAAAAGGGCGGAGGAACTATTAGGGGAAGATCAATTTGGGTTTAAATCGTCTATAAATTCACCATATTGTTTAGGTCAAGAGAATCGTAAAGGTTTTTTTCGTTTTTTATCATTGTTAGGCATCATGTCTCTCCTCTTTAATGATGGACCTCGTCGAATTTTTAAATATTTTAAGTAAACTAAAATTTTTGTCGTTCGAAGCCGCCGATAAGCTCGCTGTAAATAATAGCTGACAAAGACGAAAAGCTTCCCCAACAGCTATTTCATACTTAGCAGCTAACTTCATGATACCTTGTGTTGAAGAGCATATATCAAATAATATCTCTAACTGCATAAGAAGCGCTTAGAACTTAAGCATGTGATCAGGTGGATACAGCAAAATCAATTTATTAGTATTTTCACATGTAATATTTTTTTTGTCTAAAAGGTTTGTGAGAATGTTTGATATTCAATTCAAACGTTCTATATCCATTTTGAATTTATCTTGTAAAAAGTTTGTAGTTTTATCTTAAACGCTTAAAAATTCTTTTTGCAGGAGGTCTTCGTTTTCGGCCATGTCAAAAAATCCTGTTCTGGATTAATTTTAACTTTTCTAGCAAAAATTTTGGCACTTTCTATTAAATTTAGAATTACGTCTTCCTCTTGCCTTATTGAAATAAGGGATTCTCTGGCTCTATTAATAACGTATATCCCGTCTACAGTGTTCAAATCCTTCCTTTCCTTTATTGCTTGGTATTTTTGCGTACTAAAACAGAATTACAAATTGTCCCCCCAAATCGTTGATGATATACCACTGTATGCCCGGTATCCCACTTTTGGCTAAGGACCTGGTCGAGGAAATAAATCGGAAATTTTCTTTAAATACTCAATATTTTTTCGATATTAGAAAGAAGAATGGATTAAAATACATTCGAAGATGATTTGAAGGTTACAGAAGATATAGAACACAAAAAAGACGATTACTTAAGTGTAGACAAATAATTCCTTTCAAATTGCTTGTTGGGAGTTCGTAATTTTATCAACTGATTGCATCGTGCATTTGTAAATTTAATGATATTATAGATTATAAATATATCTAGAAGCAACGTGTTCGTTTATTCGTAATACAAACAAATTATGATACAAGTGATAGAGACAAAGCACGCAAACTAACGTGTTTTCTAAACGACTAGAGTTCCGTCTGTGTTTAATTTGAATAGTATCTTAATGCTCATGAACATTCAATAATTGTTAAAGTCAATTTCGTGCCACCCACACTAACCACAAATGAAATAATAACATGACCTTGGTCCTCGCACTTTTATGGCATTTATACGACAATTTTTTTGACACGATATTACGAATTAACAAAAAAAATAAATAAATCGTGTTAAGCTACAATAAAACCCATTCTCCCCCAATTGAAGTCAAGGACACTCATTCATAAATAATTAGAAAGTTATTAAAACAATGGAAAAAAAAGACGCAGAACAAAAAGCAATTGCAAATTAAACGTTACAAAACTTTTGGGTGTTTTATTTCCACTAGCTACTAATGCTGGTGGACGGGTAGTCCCTCCGGACTATGCCGGAGATTAGGGTAGAATGCCCTCTTCAACCTCATTTTAGGAATTGTTCGTGGAGGTTGGGATAAGATAGATGAACCGGATGAAATGAAGACAGAAGAATTTTACTGCCCCAACATTTCCCTAAGTGATCCAAGGAAGTCACAGAAACACTTGGACCGGGACAGACGGACCCAGAATTGAGCCCGTGTTCTCCCGAATGCAATTGGGAGCATTGGTTTAAACCTCTAGGTTATGCCGCTCGGTAAATTAAACGTTAACATGGGTATGGTTAAAAAAAAACTTTTGGGTGTTTCATTCCCACCAGCTAGTAATGCTGGTGGGCGGGCAGTCCCTCCGGACTATGCCGGAAGGCCCTCTTCAGCCTGCTTTCAGGAATCGTGGGAATGGGTGGGTGGTGGTTCGGGTNCTTGATAAAGACACTGTTCCAAATATTTTCACAGAGAATAATAATAATAATAGAAAGACAGATACAAAAGAATTCGAGTAGAAATATTTACAAAAGGGTGTAATATAATGTTTAGTCAAATATATGTTTTAAATTAAATATAGCGGTGTTATTATCCGCCACACTATATAATTTCTTCTGTTAACTGCACAATTCAGAGAGAAAAACGATCCTGAAAACAATTTTTGCCGTGTGAACACACGGCACGTGTGAATACTTCTATACACTTGCTTGTCTCACTGTTGCCGTGCACGGCCACGGCGCCGTGCCGTTGCAGTCCCCATGCCGTGCTGCGACGGCAGCCGTGCACGGCTACGGCAGCAAACCGTGTTTTGTGAAAGCTTGCATATAAACCAATGTATCACTATTATACACGGCACCGTTGCCGTGCACGGCCACGGCAAAATATCGTCTGTGTGAAAGCAGGGTTAAGCTTTTTCGTAACATGTCCTAGTAAAACATTGCCAAATTTTTTCTTAATTTCTCTCGTGCCAAAACGGCACTTCTCCGGAAGTGAGTCAAAACTGCTTAGTTTGATGCTCCTCACCACCTTCTTAAGTTTGTACCAATAATTATGATTCGCCCTGTATCTACTTTCTTAATAAATGAATAATAAAATTGTATCAAATCATTGCAATGAACTAAATGTAAATGTGAGGAGGAAGTCGTAAACTAGCATAATAATAATAGTGGGGCATCCTGAAACGTAGAAAACGTAACAAGGATGGGGGGGGGTCTTAAATTGTTTAAAAAATGCTTGCTGAATTTAATGAACGAGTCTGAAAGCAAGTATTGAAAGCAAACTTTCTCAAAACACCGTGCAACGTATAACCATATAAGGAATGGAAGAAACAATCGTCCTTACCGTTTTTCATCATCAAAAAGCTGAAGGTAACACTTGTTATAAACATTGCACAAATCATGTCAAGCCAAAATCCGAATGCTCTTGTGCATGCTATGGAAAGATAAGTTGCTGAGCTGTTTAAATTTTGGTATTCGTCAAAATGACTTGTTAATGCTTCCTCAGCTCCAAACGCTCGTATGGTACTTAAACCTTGGAGAGAAGCATTTAGATGCGTGTAAACAGGACTGCGAGCTAAAAATGATGATAAAGTTTGTGCCTATTAGTTAATAAATGTCATTATTACTCACTAACTCCTTCTAAACGTTTTATACTCAAACTAGTAGATAAGTAAAATTTCCTCAGAAAATAAAACAAAATTAACATGGCAGCTGCTACTATAACGATCCAGTGATTAACTATTATAATGACTGTGATTGTTCCAAGAATACTTAGACCCATCTAGAAAAGAGTAAAATTTTCATAAAAATGTATTTAGGTGATGGTTAGAAAAGAGTAAAGAAGAAGTAAAATACAAATTAATTATTTATAATACAATAAAGTATCGATTTATGATTTTTATTTGCCTATTCTACAATCATAGATTTCTAAGTAACTATTACAAATTTATAATTTGCCTTTCGCTTTTCATTTAATTTAAATACAATTTCGGTCAGTAACGCCTTATGACCAATGAAGTGATCATCTCATTTTGTCGAATTATAAAAACGTTTCGGAGTTGCGTGCATAACGATTTAAATAGAGGAGACCATTCTAGCTTAACGGGTAACAATAGAGAAAACGATAGAAAAAAGGAAAGGGTGCATACATAGGATTTGTAGATTTATAAAAAGCTTTTGACTATATTAAAAGGGACCTGTTGAATACATATAAAAAAGTAGGGATGAGTTATACAGATAGAAGAGTGATACTTAGTTTGTATAAAGAGCAACAGACAGTTATAAATCTGAAGCAGCAACATTGAGAGGTAAATAATAGGAAGGATGTTAGACCAGAATGCATACTGTCACAGCTAGTTTTTAATGCATACATCGAAGACGCGATCAGCATCATCAAAGACAGTACAACTGTGAGGATAGGTATACAGGGACAAAAGATTAGTATGCTTACATTTGTAGATGATATAGCAGTATTAGCATCTATCAAGGAGGAGTTACAAATAGCTTTAAATAAAATGCAAGCGCTATTAACAGAACAGTACTGTATGAAAATAAATAAAAGTAAAACAAAAATAGCGGTATGCAAGGGAAGAAAAGGTAGAGAAAGAGTGATTTTAAAGATAGGTGACGAAAAATTAGAAGAAGTAGCTGATTTTAGGTATCTAGGATGTCAAATAAATCAGGACGGAAGGTGTAGTAGGTATATAAAGCAGATAGCACAGGGTCGAGTCGCCTTTAGTAAAAAGTAGTCACTTCTATGCTTGCGAACGGTTAATTTAGAAATTGTATTGTTGAGAGTGTATGTTTGGAGCGCGGCGCTGTATGGGTGCGAAACATGGACGGTGGGCGCTGCGGAGAAGAAAAGGTTAGAAGCGTTCGAAATGTGGTGTTACCGGCGAATGATGAGGATACCGTTGATAGAGAAGGAGAACAAATAATGAGGTATTAGAAAGAACAGGAGAACTGAGGACTCTATGGAAGTCAATAAGAACTAGGTGGGATAGATTGGCAGGACACCTTCTCAGGCATGAAGGTCTAGTCAGAAACATATTAGAGGTAAATACGGGAGTTAAAAGGGTTAGATGTAGGCTTAGATTAGATTACTGTTCGCAGATGGTTAAGGATGTGGGTTGCTCTAGTTTTAGGGAAATGCTAGGGAAAATCTCAGGATAGGAAAAAGTGGAGGTACGTGTCCAACCAGTATTAGGACTGACAACCTTATGATAATTGTAAGTTTAATTCCCGACAATCCTTCTGTTGATGTCAAAGAGACTGCTCCTTTAGTTTACATTTTGTAAGCAAAAAAATTGCTTTTTATCTTAATTGTTTATGAAAGGTTAACATCCAATGGTTGAAAGTAAGAATCATGTTAAAATAATACTATTTAAAGTGATGATTTTTGTGATCAAATCGATCTATTTTTTCTTTGTTGACACTATCTTGTTGTAAAGTTATTATATGTTAAATATTGTTCGACGTACGTTTAAAAATTATTATTGTGTCATTGTGTGGTAAAGAAACAGTTTACTTTTGTCTTCTGTATATTTTTTATGTAAGGTGTATTCTTTGTTTAAGTTTGCAGGAGTCCCAATAGCACAGTTTAAAAATTTATAATAAGAATGCCATTTTGGTTGATTGTTTTTTGCAAATGCTAAAAATAATTTTAAATAGTCTAAATTTTATCAATTTATTCAAAAATCAATGTGAGCATATAATTTGATTAAAACTTTTAATTATCAATTACCTGTATTAAGTCGACAAGAACATCAGGCAGTTTTTCGTCGATATTTCCCATATCCTTAGAAAATCGGTTTAAAATTCTTCCAGAAGGATTTAGGTTAAAGAATATCATTTTAGCGTAGACGATATGTGAGAACATTTTATGATGTAGTTTCTTTGAGGCTTTCATACAATACCAGTAAAACAAAAATGTACTTGATATACTAAGAAGAACATTTAATGATACTATCGTCCCAAAAATCGACAGTCCATTGCGGTCTATGTACTCCATTATTCCACTTAGCGTATCATTCTTTAATTGAGATTTACGGTCTTGTTCGACGTTTACCCTAAAAATGAAATGTAATGTAATTTCAATATTATTGATAATTCGCTTATATTATTATGTATCAATAAATAAAATTAGGAAAAAGTACAGATGATAGATGTCTACGTTATTTTAGGAAAACAAAAAGAAACTAAAAAGTTGAAAATGAAAAAAAAAAATGTTTTTTTGAAAAATTCAGACATGTATTTAGTAATCAGTTTTTACCATTTTTTAATAAAATTGTCCCCATTAGAAAATAATCAATAGATTTTTTGCAATTCAATTTTTTTAATTTTTAACCCTTCGAAATTATATTTTCTTTAGTTTCTTACATGTGCGATTACAAGCACTTTTCGTGGCCGTTTTTTTAAATATTAATCAGAAATATGTGATACGTGAAACCCAAAAATTACTCCTATGGAATAGCAATTTGGGGGGGTTATTTTCACTCCTTAAAAATGTTTTCCCGCAAAAAATACGTATTTCATCATTTCTGATTTAGATTAACAGATTACAACCGCTACTAATTCGACAGTGGCCACCTCGGTAGGTTTCCTTGTTGGTATTGATAAGTTATAGAAATTTTATATACAACTGTTCTTTATATAAAATCTGTATTTTTTAAAATAATGCGGAAAAGTGTGTTTGGATCTTTTTTGGACAAATTTTGGACAATTTTTGTAATGAGTTAGCTGTTCAAAATAACTTCATTAAATTCTATGATTTTTCTCATGTATCAACTTGCCAATAGCAAAGAAACTTTCTATTATCGACAATTTCATTGGATCAAATGTTCACATGTGGCAAGTTGAGAAAAAATTATGGAATTAAATATGTAATAAAGTAATATAAGTCCAATAAATGCAATTTAAAACGTTTTAAATGTTATACGCTTTGTTCAAAAGATTTTGAGAGTTCAGTTGGTTAGTACAGACTTCAGAGAAACATTTGATATTTTCAGATCAGATAGACGTGACGTGGTTGGAAAAACATTCCACACGTTCACCAAATTTTGCTTTTATAAGGAATTCGTGATATCCAATTAAAATAAATTAGAAAAAAAAATCGGTTGTCTGTAAAGTCGGTTTACTGACGATAGTTGAACGTGACAACATCATAAGAAAATACTGATGGAATGGTTTCATTTTTCAAAAGAAAATTTTAATTTTATTTGTTTGATAGATATTTTGTATGGATATAGAGAAGGAGGTAAATGGAAATGTATTATTGTATAACAGCTGTCCACGCGGACGCATCGCTCACTCAAGTAGGAGAGAGACAGATGTCGAACGCTGCCGAACGCGGAGGCCGATTGTGCCTCGTTGTCGCTCGTTCCGCGCTCTCGCTTGCACTTCAAGCCTTAAATGGAACGCCTCAGAGCGAGGTAACGTCGCATGAGTAATGTTTTTTCGTGCGTGCAGCCGGCTCCATCGAATTATAAGACGATGTCACGTCAAAAAATTTAAATTTCCTTAACATTACAAATATATATATAAAGTATTATAATACCAGAATGCAACTTACCAAAATGTAACAAAGTAGTCAGCGCCACTTGAAGAACCCTGTGTGATAAGAAACATAAGTAAAATCAGTATCGCTATTGCAAGTGATCCTCCAGATTTAATGTACGTTAGGTAGTCCTTTGCTGATATTTTACCAATATTTTTAGATTCTTTGGTTTCCGAAGCCGACTCATTATTTTCAGAAATCTTCTTAGTAACTGCCGAAAATAAAGTTGTCTCCAACATTCCCTGTTCGATAAAACATCCCTCTTTATCGAGTTTCTGAGTATCTTTGGTTAAGCATAATTGTTTACGTTGTAAATCTTGATAAGCTCCTTGAAATGTAATTGTGCCTTCTTCCATTACAATTATCCTGTTTACATTTCGTAAATACTGCAATTGATGTGTGACCAATACGACACATTTATTTTTTAAAAACTCCGTAACACCTTTTTCAAACAGGTGTTTACCGACTTCCGTATCTACCGCTGACAAAGGGTCATCTAATAGGTAGATATCAGCCTCTCTATATAACGCTCTTGCTAAATTAATTCGAGCACGTTGACCGCCACTAAGAGTAACGCCCCGTTCTCCCAATAAAGTACGATCGCCATTGGGAAAGGACATGATGTCTTTTTCTAGAGCGCAAACTTTTAAAACATCTCTATATCTTTTCTCGTTATACCCACTTCCAAAAGTTATGTTCTGTTTAATGGTTCCTGAAAAGAACCAAGGTTCCTGAGGGGCATACGACACCTTACCTTGAACGTCTATATGTCCATCCAAAATTTTCAATTCCCTTAGGATAACATTAAGAAGACTTGTTTTTCCACTGCCAACGTTACCTACTACAGCAACTAATTCATTTTTTGTCACTTCTAAATTTACATTTGATAAGGTGTTTTTAATTTTGGCAGAAGAGGGCCATTTAGCTGAAACATTCTTAAGTAAAATCCTTACAACGAGTTCTACGTGAGGCTTATTCGAATTTTCATCTAATGTTTTATTTGCGGTAATAGTGTTACTGAGAGAATTATTATTATTAGTCTTATTATTTTTGTTGGTTTGCTCAGTTTCTTCAAATAAGAGAAAGCGTTGAACACGTTCGATCGATATAGATCCTTCGGCGAATTCCCTTATACCACTGGGGAATTGAAGTATAAGTGTTTTCCTTAAAATATTATAATACGAGGTTACGACGAAAACGTATCTAGCATTTATTTCGTTTCCTGATAATAGGTAAGCCACAATGCATAAAAATATAGATGTTCTGGTTGCAAACATTCGTATTGCTAACGTTATACCTTTTATGAATGAAACTGCAGAAATTTCATCAATTTCCTTCCTAAAAGAGCATTTTAAAAGTAAAAATTGTTATAATCAACTTAAGCACTGCTGAACCAACGAGACGCGGCCCTCACATTGTAATGTCTACAAATGCGCATTGGACGGTGGCAAGTCACAGTTCGTTTCAAGTAGTTAGAGATATGCCCCTTCCCTTTTATCGAAAAATGGAAAAGTGTGTGCAAAAGTTATTAGGCAAGAAAATGTATACACATTGAAGATTCAGCGGTCGAAATCTTCTGACTCAAACGATGAAGACTTTGAAGATACAGATTAGGGAAATACACTAAATATTTAGCGCTTGTTTCTTAAAACGGCCCTTTTCAGAGCCAACAATTCTATTTAAAAATTAAAACGACACCGAGCTATGAACTTTGCATAATTACTTTATATTATGCTTACAAAATTTAATTTGGATTGTTTCAAATAGACAGTAAACGCTAACAAGAAAACAGTAATTATTAAAAAATAATTAAAATCTTTTATATTTGTATAATATACGCACTGACAAAGTTTAATGCTGTTACGAAGAGCAATGATTATTTAAACTACCTCGTTAAAATTTAAGAATATGCTTTTTTTAAAATCATATTTAGCCAAAAATAATAACAAGTTAAATAATTTAACTCTTTACACACCTATACAACTTTTGCCTTGTTTTCTATTATTAATTTATATACATTTTTGTTTCAACAAATTGCTAAATATTTTCGTCTAGTAATGTACAATTCTAGCCGATCTCCTAAGACCGCCCATCGAGAGCTCTGCTCGTTCAAGCTTGTTCCAACTATTTCTGTCTTGCTCACCCCTAGTGTGTATTCTTTCTATCTTCGCGCAGATTCCTTCAAGGTCACATCTCTAACTACTTGAAATAAACTGTAAACTCTTCTTCGAGTTAAAAATTCGGCGCACACAAACTAGTCCGGCAGTAATTTCCATAATTAATATAGTGGACGATTAAATAAAGAGAATAAAAACACAAAAAGTTGGAGTAAATAGTCTGTTCTCATTGACCAACTTCTTGTGCATTTCGATATTTCTTCCGAGCTTGAGCGACATCCTTTTCTAGTCAAATGCTATTCCTATTTATCATCTGCGCCGGAAGTGAAAGTCAGGGGCCATCTCTCGATGGTTCAGCTGTATTTTACTCACCTTCTGATAAATTTTACTAGTTTCATGAAATAACATTCCCAGCTGTACATTTTTATAACGTTTATTCCCGAAATTATTTCACCCATCAGTCTTACTCTTTCATCTGTTCTTAATGCAGTTCTCAAACGATACAGAGAAATTCTTTTTCCCAAACAAACTAGAAACAAATTACCTTTATCGATCAATTCATTGATTAAATAAACTGTAAAAGGTTGTATCTACATATAAAAAATATATATCTAATAACTCAAAAAATCTAATAGTAAAACTAAAAAAAAGTGAACATCATTTTTGAAATTTTTTAACGCTGAAAAATTCAAACAATTTTATCGGAATGGAATTGCAGTTAGAATAAGTAACAAAATAGGTAATAATAATGTTTGACAAATAGCTAATAATAGTTTTGTAGAAAATTAATTGGAATACGACCATTAAGTGCCTTACTATTAAAACATCAACTTAATATATTTAAAAAAATCAACGAATTGGAAGCCTCTTGTAGACCAGGGAATAGAGATTTGAAACTAGCTATTTTTACAATAAAAACCAATAGGTATCAGACTGTGCAGGGTTTTAAAGCATGACCCATAGATGAAAATGTATATAATTATAACATCAGAATTATTGCTTATAAAAATGCGAGAAATATAGTTTCTACTTTCTGTGGCGAAAGCCAACAAGAAAATAGTTTTGACTACTACAGGTACAAAAGTTGTAGAGAATTGAAAAATCTATAAAATGAACCCTTGGTTAACCTGATAACGAATTAAAATAAATTTTTGATTTGCGAAAACCTAAAACTACATGTTATTGTTTTATTTTATTGTTGTATTTTTGTGCAATTATGTATTAAATCTTGAAATAGTGCCATTTACCTAACTCATTAAAAAAATGTGATTCATACTTACTTTGTATTGGTAAGAAGATAACAAGAAATATGGATCCTAAAGTTGCTGTGAATCCGACATGAAAATATATAAGTATAATAATTATTACGATTTCAACGGGACATAACCATAAACTGTGAATATGTAGCAACAGAGAATCGAATCTATCCACATCATTAGATAACAAGTTTACCAGTTGCCCAGTACTGACTTCTTCAAAGGCCGATTGATTCAATTTCAACGATTTTCTATAGATTAGCGAACAGACTGCAACTCTCATTTGCATACCTAAATGCTGGTTTTCCATAGCGTATAAATGAGATATGATTACGTACAGTACAGAACTTCCTGCTATTACGCACGCATAAATATATGCTTCGTTTCTGGTAACATGAGTATCTTTTGTGGTATAAAAATCCAGTAACTTCCCTAAAGCTAAAGGCTCCGCTATTCTATAATACAAAAGAAAAGAGCGATTAATAATATGTACCTTTCAGAAAATTTAATTCTTCTGTGATTTATTATTATATAACTTAATTTATTTAACAATAAATTGTTTAAAATAAGCGATCAGTAAAACTGTAACAATTTAATACATTACCATGTGTACCGATTTGTTTAATATTTTTTTTTATATAATTAAAAGGAATTTAGAGGAGTAGGGTACAGTAGAAATAATATAAGAAATCAGGTAGGGGTCACTTT